AAAGAGTCGAAAACGAGGGTAGACCAATACTATTCAGTTGTTTTCGTATTAGATTAGAGTTTCGAAACTACCATTAAATCAGTAATATGAGATGTATTCCTCCAATTCAGTTGGCCAAGACTCCCAAAATGTCCTTATTCAATATCAACTGATGGTCTCGAAAGATAATTACAATATTTTTCGTTTATGAGTAGATATTAGAAACCACGAGTAGATCATATGTATTATATTTATTCAACCTATTTCCTTTAAGATGACGAAGGGAGGGTAGTTGAATATTTCCCACAATGATATGAGTATGCATTACATTTGGATTGAATTTAGCATAGCCTTGCTTCGCATGAGTTATTCTCATCCAGACAGTTTCTACACCTACAGTTTCACCTTTGCCTAGGTCGTTCCACAAGCACCCTAAACGGGACTCAGTCCCGGGTTGTTGCCATGCGGGGTATACTCTCAAAACGCTAGCCACTACGCCATGTTACCATGAACGCCCTTAGGTCACAGGACAGATGTGAATTTAAGCACATCAAGGCCTGTCCCAAATCGCATTCCGTGGTGGGATTGTCGATTAAGCAAAGATGAATTCAACAAAAATTGACTAGGTTACTTAGTTTTCTTTTATAAGTTGGTTTTCAAGACTATTAGTAGATCATATATGTTCGATGTATCCAACTATATCACCCTAAACGAAATAAAGTGAGAACATCTCATTTATGTTATCTCTTGCCAGTCTCGAGAATCCACTAATACAACGAAAAATAAGTGCTGTGGTTACTTGCTATAGCAAATGCAAATTTGCTTCATTGACAATCTTACCACAGAATGTGATATGAAAAAATGTCTGGCCTTCCCTTTAAATCACATCTACCCTGCGACCCAAGGGCACCCATGGAAATAGTGCCTAGTCGGTAACATTTCGAGATCACATGCTGAACTGTCATAGTTCGAGTCCCGCCGGGGGTGCCAGTGGGACCTAGGCGAGGTCGACACGGCAGTTCAATCCTGTCTGGGTGCGAATAATCCTTGAGAAGCAAGGCCATACGAAATTCAATCTAAATGTATCACCTACTTATACAATTGTGGGAAAAATTCAACTACCATTCCTTCATCCCATTGAACAAGATATGGCAAATTCATTGCTCGTCCATACCAGAATGTCTTAAGGTCATGCCACTTTTTGGAAACTGAAGAATTTATGCTTCCGCTGCACTCCACAATAGCACTGACAGTCGGTGTCATTTGAATCTTGTGGTCTTTGAGTGCGGGACTCACGTCAGCAGGTACGAATCCCGCCGAAGAGCAGATGAAACCTGTCCGAGACAGTAACTGCAAACCGGCCAGGATGAGAAGGCTTCTTCTTAATTCACCATTGGCCGATTTAGCCAGGCTAGCTCGCACCCTCGACGGGACTCGGACTTTAAAATCCTACAAATTCGAAGAGAAATGCATTGTTTTCATACCCCTTCTGTACCCTTGCCCCAGTCAACTGATTTGCAGGAAAAATGTACAATTTGTGAGGTAACCGAATCTGCCATTCGTATGCAACACAAGACCGTTCTTATCCCACTTCTTGCATCGCAACAAGTTGCAATCGCTCATTTGTCTCAACTACCATCTCAGCAATGCACATTTTCGTTGATTACCCACCTCTCCGTCGTCCATCCGTGGTCGCGCAAGCCCATACCAATGGCCTATGCTGTATGCATCCTCATTTATCGGTACTCCGTGACATTCTTTCCTGTCGGGCGTTGAGTTGTGCACTTTGCAAGCGGTCGGACTTTGGGCATAGCGGCCCAGAGAATTGCCGCAATCAGCCGCCTCACATTTCCGTTCCACGAAAATGAGGCCGCTCACTTCTGCCAGTCCCGAGGCAGCAAATCGGAACCTTGAATTGCCTTATCTACCACCGGGATCTGGCTAATTTAGCCATAATTCGCTCAACTTATCTGATTGCTTTGTGCTTTCAAACACAACTGAACAGGTCTTGTAGCCCATTTTCATTCCGCTGACACCTTTCAAAAACTGTCGATTCTCCTACAATTCCCTGTTTTTTCTCCTTTCTCCTTTCTCCTTTCCCTGCACTCTGCCAACTTCCACCCTAATTCTCCCATTCTCCTGTCCCAACATGGAAATCACTCTGCCCTCGAAAACCCAAACAAATTCACACAAACGGGTACAGGCACACGTAAGCACAAACACACAAACACACACACACACACCCACACACATACAGCTAATTGCGATTTGAAGAGTTTACCTTGTTTTCTGCCTTTTTCATGGCCTATTTCACTGATCTCCGCCATCTTGATTTGCCTGAAAACAGACAGTTAATTGCCTCATGGCGCTTTGGTCGGTACAGAATTGCCTGGAGGCATTTGGAGCTTGGTTTCGGACGTTTTGGTGTCTGTCTGTCATTCCAGACGTTGCCAAATAGATGCATTCGCAACAAGCATCAGATACCTCTGGCAGAAGAGAGCTGAAACAAAAATGGATAATAATAGGCATTCTGGCGAGCTTATCCAACAGGCCTTAATTGGGAAATTATAAAAGGAAAGTTGGGCGTATTTGGTGCCTTTAAGTTGGGCTACAATTGGCTAGTACCAGAAAACTTTGCACAAGTACCCTTTGAGTAAGTAATGAGGTGTCAGTTTCCATCTAGGGCTGAAAAAATGACTCGTTTGAATCTCGTTTGGGCCCAACCACTTTGGCAAGGATGTACAATTCCCAATAAACCTGAGGTGATGAAGCCTACGTTTGGGACCCACGTTACAAGCATGTGGACTTTGAGTGTGTTGTCAAGAGGATTCGTACTGCCGAGTCTATCTGGGCACGATAACAGATGAAACCATTTATTTTATTTTTGCCTTCTATTTTGTATATAATTAGATCTCGAGAGTAACAATAGTTATTTAATACGAACTTGGCTACCCTAAGTCGAATGAGGACTGATTGCTGAATTTTCACACAATTCAGATAAGTAGGTTTCAGGACGCCAGTAAATTGCTCTTCGCCTCGCCTCCCAAAAGGTAATCCTCCAATTCGTAATGGTTTTCGTTTCTACCTTGCCACCTCGTCTTACCAGCACTTTAGATGCCATTTGATAGCGGATCGGCCACTGGTGCCAGTGAATAAGATCTTCAAGGCAAGCCAGGCTTCTGCCAAATCACAGTGTTGTGGTGAGATTTAGGATTGAGCAAGCATTTATTTAACACGAAAATCTACCGCATTACTTAGTTTCGGTATAAGCAGGCTTCGAGCCAATCAGTACTTTTTGAATAACAACTAAGTCACCCTAGTCGGTAATACAGTAACTAGGAGACCTTTTATTTTTCGTATTTGGGTAGAGCTGTAATGAGATGTATTCACCCTATTTCGTGTATGGTGATGAAGGACTGGTAGTAGAATTTTCCCACAATGCTATGAGTAGGGCTGATGTTTCCGTTAAATTTCGCATAGCTTTGCATTTCCTGGATAAGAACAACTTTTGGGAAAGCAAGGCTATGTGAAATTCAATGGGTGAACACATCTCATATTACTGATATACTGGTAAGCTCGAAGCTCTACTTACATACCAGAAATGAGTAACGTATTTGATTGTTATAGCAAATATACATTTGCTTCATTGACAATCCCACCAAAGAATGTGATACGGCAAAAGGCCTGACCTTCTTTGAAAGTCACATCCACTCGTAGCAATTTGGCCGAATGTTTGACGTTTCAATCTCACATTCTGCATTTTCACGGTTCGACTCCGGCTAGGGGTGTTGATAAGTCCGATGCGGGGTCGAAACTGCAGTCCACCCTGGACGAGAACAACTTCTGGTACAACAATGCTTTATGAAATGCAATGCAAACGTCAGCTTTACTCATATCAATGTAGGAAAATTCTACTACCAGTCCTTCATCACCTTAAATGAAATAGGGTGAATAAATCTCATATTAGGACACCTTTTACTTTAATTCACACTTAGTTTAATTAGCTAAATTCCACTTTAGACACCAGTAAAAAGGTTATTTGATCTAGTTTTCGCATCTTGGTCCTGTTAGTAGGAAGACTTAGAGGAATGGACCTAGTCTGCAGTCCATTGTCTGGATGAGCATTTCCAAAGTCAAAACGTGGACGTGGTACATTCCCAAATGTTTCCCTGGCAT